AGTGGTCACTGTTTACCCAGTCTGTAACAAAGTAACAAAGGACGTCTACATAAACTTGTGACAGAAGCGTTGCTCGTTCTCCGAGTCCGAGTGATGGCGACCCATGTGTTTGTTCTAACAAGACACTCGGTCTTCCTCGTCTGATACATTTCGTTTTATTGTCACCCTTGCGCAAAATCAGCGACAATATACAAATTACAAACAAAATACAAACCAACAACAACAACAACAAAAACAAAGTGGCTACTTTCGATTGGGACCTCAGATGGGAGTGGTCTGTTTTCTTCATCCCGATTAGTCCTGCCTAAGACGGCCACCTGTCTTATACGGCCACTTTTCTCCTTGACAATGGGTGGCCGTCTTACACAGGTTTGACTGTAGCGGGTCACAAGAATGACAAACATACAAAAGAAGTAGAGAAAAAATGACGATAGTAAGGATTAGGAAAGAAAAAGCAGCAGTTCCCTGTTGCAGATCAGGCACAGTTATGAGCGTGACATGATGAATCAGCCCAGGACATGGGGTTAAGAAAGAAGGACAAAAGGACGATGTATCAAAGTCAAAGATGTTGCACATGGATCCCAGAGGGTTGGGGTCATTGTGAGACGTTTCAATTTCATCCTTGGAGGGTTTTCACCTCCTGTAGACAGGACAGTGTGGTCTATTTATATGTCCCACAACATACGGGTGTATAAATATATGCATTATATGGCACTCAAATCCCTTAAAAACATTTTGATGTTCAGTAAGAACCAATAATGAACCATTTGTGTTCCTTTGTGTAAAATAAAAGGTCAGGAGGTCATGAAGTACACATTTTAATGCAATGTCCAACGTTTGTAAAAAAAACATATTGGACAAAAATTCTAGATAGCTTCTTTAAATTTGGTGGTCAATGTTGTTTTTACATCCCCGACTTAAACTGAAAATATTATTGAAGGATTCTGCTCATAACTTTGGCTGATATAAGGTGTCCATATGATGTAGGTCTGGGGCAATGTCAAATAATGTGACATAATGACCTCGAAATACGTATGTGTGTGTGCATGTGTACACAAGTCTGTCTGTCTGTCTTTCATAGAACTGTAAGAGTTTCCCCATGGACACAATGTAGATAATTTAAGAGACTTCGTGAACTGGACAATAACAACAAGTCACACGGGCCTGGTGTCATTTCACAAACTTTAATTTATTATCTCAACAGAAAAAAAAGGGTGGAAAAATTCCACATTGCAGGTACTGCTACAAGAGACATGTGACAGGCTTTCTATCCTAAAAGCTGAAACGAGTAGGCCAATAATTTTTTCCAAAGTTAGTGATATCTCTAAACAACGCAAAAGGCATGTCTACCAAACTATTAAAATGACAAAATATTGAAACGTCAGTTCTACGGGGAATAAAACCTACATACATAAGATAATATGCCATGACAATGAAAGTGTTTTGTGTATTGTACAAAATCAGACATCCAACATTGAGAAGAAAAAGCTGAATGCAACCTAGATATACTGTTGGCTTCAAGGTAGTAAACAGTGCAGCGGCTGGACAAAAGTAACAATTAGAATTAGATAGAACAGGCCACAGTCTCGACGTAGGCACCAGAAACACAGTCCACTAGCACAAGGAGTCGGTGGTTAGCTTACAGTGGTCATTCCAATAACTCCACAGATCCAGGCGAAATTTCAAAAGGAAATCAAATACACACGTTTTGTCTCTACAGATCTAGTAAAACTACAAAATGAACATCACTGTACTGATGGGGTTGCAAATATTGTCCATCTGTATGTTTCTCTACGGATCTAATAGAATTACAAAACAAAAACCACTTTCTAATGGCAGCAAATGCTGTCTATCTCCATGCTCATGAACTGCTACTTGCACAAGGCAGTACGAAAACAAAAGGAATTCTACATGAACAGAGAATAAGTAAGTTCTCCCTTTTTTACAAAGCTGAGCTTTAACAGTAACAACACACACACATAATATATGTATATATGTATGTCTAGAAAACCAAAATATAATCCCATTCTTCTCGTATTTTCCACAGATGTCCTTTCACACACAGTCCTGTTGGTGGCAGGCTCTGTGTCTTCAACAATATCAAACCAGTCTTGTTGGTACAAAAACCTAACAAACTAAACAGCACCTGAAATTTATTACTCAATGTTCATTCTTCAGCCATAAAAATTAAAATGAAGTTATATTTAAAACATTTTGAATCTCAGTGAGTATTCAAAACACAGACCAACAGTAGTCATCACATAAATAAACAAGGAAATAACTCTGCTTACAATCTCATGTACCGTATCTGTTTCAGGGTAATGAAAATTAAAAATTGGCTCGGGAGTACAAAATGAACAAGATGAGGTATGCACTTATGTGTGCAGAGGAGCAAGCATCATCAAAAGCCTGCCACCAACAGAAACAACTCCCCACTCAGCATGTTGTCATCACAAGTTTAAATGGTCTTAATACTTCCCAGTTGCAACGTCTATTTCTTGAACTGCTTCGCGACAAACTCTTCTCCTTTCTCGATGTTTGACTTCAGTTCATCCATGGCAGCGGTGACAAGTTTGCGTTCATAGTCTAGCAAGTGGCCAATGCCCAGATTTTTCTCCACTCCATTTTTCTGAAAAGACATAAAAAATGGAAAGTAAGCCATCCCATTGCATAACTGTTGTACATGTTTTTTGGTTTTAGTAGAGGTTTTACGGCGCCCACAACTGCCTAAGGTCATATGAACGCCAAGTGGTGGAGGGCAACAGAGAAGTCCTTACAGGGAATCAGGCCTACTCTGCTCACCTCCCTATCTTCAGCAACACAAGGTCTGCTTCGACTATCAAGGCACCCCAGAAATAGCGGATCACAGGAGAGTGACAAAAATACAAAAGAAGTAGAGGAAAAATGACGATGGAAAGGATTAGGAAAGAAAAAGGTACATGTTTTGGGGCTCCCATCAACATCAGTAAGATGATTAAGGAGGTGTGACACTCCCACTCTTGACAGCCAGGGTTCACTCGGGTTGCCTGGGACATGTCCCAGCACAAAGACACAGACACTCTAAAAAAATATGAGAGAATCGAAAGCACCTGTATTGTCCACACAAGGCAAAAAGCAGTTTCCAACAAAATGTTAAAAAAACTAGATCTACATCACGCTTCCTCCATCCCACTCCAGGGGGAAAAGCTACAGTGTTTTAAGGGGCATCAGTAGCTTAACAAAAGAGTAGCCAGTTTCTCACTTTGCACATGCCACACAGGAGATGAACTGAAATTCGCCTGTTTTGGTTAACATCTATTTCAATTGTCAAAATTCCTGACTTCCAGTTCCCAAAGTGAAACAGCAGAATAGAGCTCTAAAACAGAACAACTTTGCTTCAAGACATATTATATCACATCCCAGTGCTAAAACTTTTTTTCTTCAAAATCTAATTGTCAAAATTGTTCAACAGGGCCATCTATTTCCAGAAGAAAAACGGCGGTTTTAGACTGGTGAACGTCTTGGACAGTATCATTAAAATATAAATAAAACCCACAGAGGGAAGTGGGAAGTGTTTGTTGTATAGGTGATTGTCTTAGACAGGTGGCCCTCAGGCCTCTCGGTAAAGCTAAAACACTATAATTCTTATGGTAAAGGACACCAATTGCCGTTTAAACTCACTGACTACAGTTCCCCTCACTGGTACGGGACTAGCGGCCGGTTTGCCGGTACGGACCCCGCACCCCCGACAGGATGGACTTTGCGGTTTTGTTCTGAAAATTGTGCTTCCGTCAAATGTACGGAAACGGACTCCAGTGTTAGTTTCACCACTTCTTTCATTTCGTGACGAGTTTGGTGGAAGTTGGGAGGTAAGTTTTTAAGCAATTGAAGGTCAGTCACCTCATCTAAAGTTACACTGACAGAACAAACGCTGTATTTTTTAATATACAGTTTATAGTAACGTTGAAGTGGCGGTCGAAGAAAACGCTAAACAAGAATCACCTATTTCCGCAGTTTTCGATACTTTTGTTCCTTTTACTAGCTCCAGTGACTCAGAATATGATGTGTCTGATAGTTAGGACCCTGGACATGTACCCAAACACGGCCGAAATCAGAACTTTGAGACCTACATCTGTATCATGTAATTCCCAGTAGTCAGAGAGTTAAGAGTGTGTGGGTCGCAGGGCGACAAATTATATAGAGTGTTGTTGCTTGAAAATGTACCAGTATTGATATACAAAATTTTTGAATTTCATACTTTCTATTGCCGATAGTTCACAAACGTACAAATTTCAGCGCCTAACTAAACAGTAAAATGTGTTATAAACATTGCAACTTCATTTACCTCAGGACTTTAATCAAAGACAAGCTCATTCCTTCCTTATTGAAGTTTTATCAAAACATCCTGTTGAAAATTTTTACTTAGCCATAATTTAGCAAATGAACAAGGCCAACAAATGGCAAGAGAAAGCCCAGGGGAAAACTTACCCCTAACAAGACTGGTGTGGCGAAGTACTTGGCGTCCGTCTCGTCTGAGGCAACAAAGGCACACTGCACTTTGCCTTCTGTGCCGTTCATGGCCTCCAGCAGGGAGTTGGCAAACTCCGCAGCAGCGTAAGCCATGGACAGTGTAGCCGAGCCCTGCAAAAGAACAAATACATTCTCAATGGGGAAAACCAACAAGTACACCTGCTTAATAAGGTAGATCATGTGTCAAGACGCGGTGTGATCAGGCGCTCATCAATTTTTGCACCTGCCCCAAGTGGAGAATTCAGATCCCCCATCAACAAGTGTCAAATCTAAACACTTTGCAGTCACACAGCCAGCAGTACAAAATACCCCATCTGGTCACCCAGCCAGGAAAGCGACGGCGCATTATTGCGCCAAGTGACTGCAAAGTGTTAGGAATTAAACAGGAGTTCACAAGGTTACAATTGTATCAAAGTTAGTGTGAGGTCCTCAGACCCTAAGTTTGTGCCCTCTGGCTTAGTGCAATGTTGAAGGAAAGTAGGAAGGGAAGTCAATAGAATCATATCTTGAGATAACTAAGGACATTCTCCGCCTCCACATTTGTAGCTGTTATTCTTTTTGCAACAAAATGTAAGAAAACAATTCGAAGTGGAACTATACATCAGTCAAGTTATCAGAAATAATATCCAATTCCAACACAGTTTATTGACATAATACAACACGAAATCAAAGCAGCACTTACAGCTCCAGCCTTCGCTTCCACCACTTCAGTGCCAGCATTTTGGATTCTCACACTGATGGCCGCTCTTTGATCCTGTAGAAAGAGAACACAATCCATTTTAAAATACCCCAACAGTGAAACTACATCCTTTATCATAATAAGCATGAACTTGAAGAAAGATTACATAAAAACTCTTTGAAAGGTTGCTATAAACACAAGAATATAGTCTGTCATTCAAACAAAAACTTAACCTAAACATGCAAATGACAGACTACCTAAAACAGCAACCTCCCCCTATACAAACTCACACCTCTATTTCAATATATAGGTAATTTGTGCAAGATATAATGTCACAAATCTCTCAACAAGTGCTACACTTTTTGTTTAAAAAATTCTACACGCCTGTCACATACATCATTAAGGAGAGTAGAACCTGCTTAAACCCAACCTTTATAAAAGGGCCAGGAAATATTTTGTAGACAAAATGTTCAAAAATATGAGGAGCAAGTTCTGCCTCTAAAAAGAGTATTGGAGGCGATCTTTTCCTTCCTAAATCATGTGCCCATAGATCACATTACATGAACTCACTATGGACCCACCTATCATATGTGTACTCATTTTGTGCCTGCAGATCACTTGTACTCAGTATGTAGCCAACTGACCAACTATACATGTGTACCCATTTTATACCTGTAGATCACATGTACTCACTATGTGCCCACTGACCACATGTGTACCCATTTTGTGCTTGCAGATCACATTAACTATGAACCCATCGATAAGATTTGTATCCATTTTGTACCTGCAGATCACATAAACTAACTATGAACCAATCGATAACATGTGTACCCATTTTGTGCCTCCAGATCACATGTACTCACTATGAACCCACTAACCACATATGTACCCGTTTTGTGCCTGGAGATCACAAAAACTAAATACGAACCCATCTACAACATTTGTACCCATTTTGTACCTACAGATTACATGTATTTACTACCTTGTGTCTGTCCCTACAGAATTATGCAAGTTACGATGGCCAAATTATGCCAGACAAATGCAAAATTATGTAAAAATTATGCAAGTTACTGTAACTCAATTCACAACAGGTTCTGCACTTTTTCAACAAGATTTATCATGTTTTATGTAGAAAATAACTGAAAACAGAACATATCAGTATCAGTAATTTTTGTGCGTATTTGGAAAGAAAACAAACACATAAGTCTGAAAAACCATCTAAAAAATATAAGAAAAATGTTTTTAAAAAATGGCATCTGGACCAGACAACCTACCAAAAAAGGCAAAGTATATAAGATGTGCTGACAAATGAATAAAAAACAATTGTAAATAGTGGTGACGGGCTGATAGACAAGCTGATCAAGAAGAAAATTTAAAAAAAACAACCCCCAAAAAACCCCCTCACAAAACAGACAATGCATGATCTCATAGGCTATAGTTGCCATTGTGAAAATAGACAAGCTTACAAAGAACAATCTTAGTAGGCCTGCTTAAAAAAATAATTAAAAAATTTATCCATCTCCACTTTGTAGGCCTTATACAGGGTGCCCATTGGGGGATCACGTCGGGTCTGGATGATCGCCCGCCTCGTTGCCTGAAAACAAATGCCTTCAATCTGGCTAGCAAATCGCCCCGACCTGACCCAATCCTCCAATGGGCACCCCGAATAACTTAAGCAGCCAGCAATAGTGAACATCAACAAGGTTAGGCCAGTTACCAGAAAGGGATAATTACGGACATTGTGCATTTTGCGAAATTAAAGAGTTCTGTTTTTGAAGTAAAAATCAGTTGCTCTTTTGACAGTAAAAATATAATTGTTTTGTGAAAAAAATTTTTTTAAAAAAGAAAAAGCGACCCGAATAAAAAATTATGCAAATGTTGCAGAATTACGCGAAAAAACACGACGGCACAATCCGACAGGGACAGTCATGTGCACCTATTTTGTGCCTACAGATCACTTGTACTAAGAATGTACCCACTGACCACACGCGTACCCATTTTGTGTCCACAGACCACACACATACCGACCTGAGGGAAGGACACGGACGGGGAGCACTGCGAGATCACTGGTACGATGGTGATGCCACTGTGGCCTCCAATTACTGGACAGAACACTTTGTTCACATCCAAACCCTGAAACAACACCAATTTAAAATAACATTAGTGAGAAAGTCACTAGCACCAAAAACAGCTACAAAACATAACGTGCATATTATGAAGTTCAACATCTTTGAAACAATAACATACAACAGCAAGCGCAGAGAGCATGCTGTAGAGCATGAATATACGCTACATAAATGACATATTACTATCACATGCATGTGATTATCATGAGCAGTGACGTAGTAAAGATAAAATAATGTGAGGGTGAAGATCAAATGCAGAGAAATATTTTTAATATAGCTCCTTCACTTTCGTCTGACCGCGGTTGAAACTCGATAAAAACAAATCACTCTGATTAATCTTTCTGGGTCTTTGCATGCGGGTCTAATATTTAAGCGACCAACCATGGGCAAAAGTGACAAGAGACGGTTTAGCCAGAAAATTATGTTGTTAGAGATTGGATAGCCTGAAAAGTTCAAGGTAAATTCACGTGGCCTGAATGATGGGGGGTATACGCTTTTCAATTTTCCAGGTGTGCCATCCATTGTCCGGGGGCATGTTACATAACAACGACAGCATGTGTTCTATTTAAATATATAATACATACACACACAAACAAGTATGTAGCCAACATTATATATGAAGGGCCTATCCAGTCAACAAAAATTCAGTGTGGAACTGGAGTCTTGTGTGACTTACGTATTTCAGTCTGTTCTTACTCGTTATATATTTTCTTATTTATATTTTCCCCTCATAATTTTATATGTAATATATAAACTATATTATACAAATGCCTGTCTTTCCCAAGGACCATCTGTTCATCCAATCTTGTTTGCTGTTGCTTTTAATGATTTGTTTTGCAGTGTTGTATGAAGTTGGAATGTTGGGTTGTTCCTGTCTTGATCCCCTTTTGGCGAGTGAGTCTGCTCTGTCATTTTCAGGTATGTTTGAGTGTCCGGGAATCCACTGCATCACCAGGTTGACGCCACAGGATGTTATCAGGTGATGGGAGCCAAACAGTATATGTGTCAAGTCTTCGTTTAGATGACGGTCATTTTCTATAGCTTGCAAGACATAGTGAGACAGTGAAGATCACTATACTCTGTGTTTTGTTTGGAAGAGTGTCAAAAACTGTGCGGGGATGGTATAGTGCTGTTTTAATTGCTGTCATTTCAGCATCATAGTTGTTGCATTCCTCTCTACAGGCTGCAGAGATCTCATTGGAACTTCCATCTGGGTACTGTGTATTAGTATTTCATATCCGGCTTTGGTTGTGCCTTTGAATGCTGAGCCGTCTGTATAGACGTGTATCCAGTCATTTAAATAGCTGTCGATTGATGTGATGCAAACAGCTATTGTCTGTGAAAGATGTTGTAATGATTGGTTTTTCCATAGAAATGTGGGGAGGGATGGTTTGGTTGACTCTTTTCGTTTCTCTTCTGTTTTGTGGTAGATGGTGACTCTCCATTAGTTCTGTGATGCGATGGATGATTGATTTTTGTTGAAGTCGTTTCTTTGGTTTCCATGTTTCTACTAATTTCCAGTTTGAGTGGTTGGGGCACATTCTTAGATTCTTTCAAGGAGCTCCAAAACTGCTTTATCTCTGCGAATTCCCAAGGGTTCAACATTTGAAAGAATTTAACATGCGAGGGCCCAAAGAGAAAAACTTTTGTTACGGGTGAAGACTTTTTGAAAAAATAATTATATTTGGTCGCCGGCTTGCAGAAGTGCCACGCAAAGTTTCGTGGGCATAGGTAAATTCCTCAATGAGCTAGAATTTTTTTAACGCAATCAGATGAAAGTGAACAAGCTATAAGCGATCATAAAGGGCAAAAGAACTGAAAGAATAACATAGCATAAAATGTATGACCAGAATTTCTTTGGTTTTTGAAAGTGATTAATCCAGCCTTTTTGCAAGACAGTCTGTCTGGGAAAGCCAGCTCTTTTTCCATTTTCAATCACAAAGATATCATGAGTAATGTGTGCACTGCACCTCACGAGTCTTGGGCCCTATTCTGAGAGCAAACACAATCAACTAAAAAGGGACCAGCAGTGACAAAAACCTGAGGGAAAAACCCAAAGTTCTCTACACACAATGCTTGCATGGACCCAAGATTGAAAAAGGCATGTTGGCACGACAGACAATATTGACAAACAGAGAATCATGATAGAAAAACTAGAGATTAAAAAAAAAAGCACACAGCATGACACTACTAACCTTTGCTTCAGCAATGAATGTGTTGGACCTTACAACATCCAAGGTGGTCACACCAAACACTCTATTCTTGTCGTACACACCACGAAGCTTCAACACCTCAGAGGCGATGGGCACGGTGGAGTTCACCTGAAGACAATGACAAAGAACACTTTACTATCTCTACCCTGGAGCCAGTGAACATTTGGCATTGAAAATGTGACATACAGGCTCAAAAGAGTTTTTAAAAATGTACTGGTCACTGAGCTAACTCACAGGGTTGGTGATGATGCCAATCATAGCTTTTGGGCAGTTCTGTGCACATGAATCAATCAGATTGGCCACAATGCTGGCATTTGTGTTGAACAAGTCATCACGGGTCATACCTGTAAGCAGAGAACAAGATTGAGTAGAAAAAAGTTATAATGCATCTTTTGTTTAAGCAACTAGATCACCACAATTGTTGAAACATTATTGCACAATGTCAGAGTAAAAGTAGGACATCTGACAACAATCCTTGGACAAGCACTAAAGCCAAACATGAACATGAAAATAAAAGAACCTCTTGAGAAACTATACAAACAGATATTTCCATAATTCCATGCCTTTGACTTCACAGGCCCAATGTTCATTGTATGCCTTGAGACAAGAAGGAGACGCATCATGAAAAAGTTCACACTCACCTTGTTGGGAATTTCTTGGGTGTCATCTACACTAACCTTTTTGTTTTCTTTACCCAGAGTCATAAACTTAGGTTGACTATTAAATGATGTGTCAGATTTTATAAAAACAAACAAGGAAGAGGCTAAAAGACTAACCAGGTTTCCTGGGTACTCCAGCAGGTATAAGCACCAAGTCAGCATCTTTAACGCAATCTGCCAGTTGCTCATCTCCCATGTGGCCAGTCACTTTTGGTCGAGTCTCAATATGGCTGAGGTCAGCAGCCACTCCAGGTGTGTGAGCAATGTCATAGAGGGAGAGGTGTGAAATGAGAGGTGACTGTTTCAACAGGAGGGACAGGGGCTGGCCAATTCCACCAGCAGCTCCCAACACTGCTACTTTGCTGTCATTCTGAAAAAGGCCGGGCAGTTCTTTAAAAACGTGTCAAAATCAGAACATTTGGCTCATTATATTAGTGATAATTAAATGAGTTCATTCACGTGGTAGAGCAAGTTTCTTCTGTTAAATATTAAAAAACATGCAGTGTGAAAAAGGGTCAACAATTAAGATTTACAAACCCCATACAGTCTGAAAGACAAAACTCTTTATATTCACTAGTAATATTAGTATTACTATTGCATTAAATTTTCCTTATTTGAATCTATAATTTTCCAAACACCCATTGATCCTTAGCTTTATTTCGTAAGACATCAATCCTTGACCTTGATCAACATGTGATTATCCAACTTTTGAACAATCAATAGATGCTCTGCTTGTTGTAGATTAAAAAACCCCAACCCATCAGCAATAGCATCTGCAAAGCAATATCAAGACGAATCAAGAGTTTTCACGAATCAGTAAACTTATTAAGCCACTTTCACTATCATCAAATAACTGATGTGACAAGCTTGTTTCACTTCGGACCTTTAAGGACCTCCCGAGGAGTTTGCATGTGTTATTTTATCTTTAAAAAAAAAAAGCGGAAAAAGTGTGCATGAGAAGTAAGACGTCCCCACAAAGGCTGCAAAGGCAACCAGTATCCCCTCAGTCGTAGTATAGTCGACTATCTTTCTACCTGCTATCAGATAGTCACCTTGCTGAGCAAGATTTCAGAATAATACATTACATGTAATTGGGACATTATCTAGATAAAGATAATGCACTCTTGTTCTATTTTTAAAAGTCATAGCGTAGGAATATTCCCTGTTTTGTCACAGAACGTTTTATTGAAAACATGCAGATATAATATATATATATATATAATAAAATATATATATATATATATAATAAAATATATATACATATATATTTAATAATAATAATAAAATAAATATATATTAGTAGCGTTTTCATCATAATAGAAGTAGTTTTCAAGCTTACAAGTACAAGCATGTATTATCTACAAAAAAGTTTAGGAAAGAACAAAGATTCGCATAGATTAGGATACAGACAGTTGTAGTTTAGGCAAGCAGATATTAATGAAAGTCGGGAGAGAGAAAAAAAAAAAAAAAAAAAAAAATTTTCTTCTCTTTCTAAACCTATTCTAAAGATTGGTCTGGAAGTGGAAGGTTTCCAAAATCTTCTTCCCATGTCCTGGCTTCATCACCCCCCACCCCTTCCGGGGTTCAAACTGGGACTATGTTAAAATAATCCACGAACAAGAAATTACAGGAAAATTGTCTAAGGTGTTAGATCACAGCGTGCTCTCCAGTTTCCATTTTAGAAGATCATACCGGTACAATTCAAGACTCAGGTCATAAATAAAGCTGGGGGTGATCTGATGTCATTAACAGACAATAGCAGGCAATTCAACTCCAAGACCTGAGCAAGTAGCAGCCGAAAAAGTGACACAAGCAACGTAAAAACAAATTTTTGGAACAATACTTTAATAAAGTAAAGGTAACTTTTCAATAAAAGTTACTCAAGCAAAAAAAGTAATGCAGAAATAATGTGATTCAATCTCAAGCAATGACTGAATAATGAACAATGAAACTTTTTAAAACTTTACAAACCATTGACCTTTGCCTGAGTTAGTGTCGACCGCATCAGCAGTCATCAGTATCATAATAATTATAATAGTAAATAGCATTACGGCTCCTTTTTACCGCTTGAAGGTCAGCTTGCACCAACACAGAGAAAGGATGTAATCACATTGTTGTAAGGGAAATAATCTTCGAAGGGACGATCTTAAAAACTGGCACCCAAATCACTTTTGGAAATGGATTACAAAATCATTTCAAAAGTGCTAGATCTACGCCTCCAGAGCATTATGGCTAATATAATCAGCCATCACCAATCAGGTTTTCTGAAGGGAAGATCAATTGCAGAACATACAGAACTCTTGATGATGCTATTTTTAGCTCCTTAGAATACGACATCCCGAAAATGGCAGTCTCCTTAGACTTTCAACGCGCGCAAGACAGGAGGAGGTTGGAGTAAAAAACAGTGACAAACAAACAGCGAAGCATCTTTATATTGATTGCAAAAATGAGTGTTAGTAACATGGGGTATGGAGATGTAAAGTGTATTTTCATATTGTTTGATATCGAATTTGAACACAGGAAAAAGTTTCTGTCATGTTTAATATCATATATTGCTCGCTTATTTTATGGCTATTCAAAGCAAAAACACAATGCACATCTGTAACAACTTATCCCTATTATAATTTATTTTCCAGGTGCCTTCGGCAACCTTATTTCCATATCTCTATTCACGTTCTTGTTTAAAGAAGATGTACCAAGGGTTCATCGATAGCTCATGTGATGGGGAGAACATTAATTAGTTTTGATATGCTGCTTGCAGCACTGCACAAATAATCTGAACGAAAGGAAAAGGTAATGGGTTTTAGTTACATAGTTTTATGCTATTGTATTATAATACTTCCTCGTTTTCCATTGCTCTCACTTTTTTTTCTCTATCTCTACATCTCCCTCTCTCTTCCCTGCTCTCCAATCCCCTTATTTCTCTCTGTCTCGGTACGGCTGTCTATCTATCTGTTTACTTTACCATCTCAAGCCTTATACAGACCTGCCATTCTATGAAATCTAAAAATGAGGGTCTTTGGAAAAAAAATCGGGACCAACGACAAATCACCAGGGTGACTGCCAAGCCGACTTTAAAATTTACCATGGGTGTCCAAAAATATATGAAGGCATAGTTTTAAGAAAAATCTGGAGCAACAGAAGGGACAAAAAAATCAGGACACATGCGATCGACATCGGGATGTTTGAGGTTTTTTTTGGGGGGGGGGGGGGGAATCAGGACATCCAGATTAACTCGCGATGAGTGGCACATCTGCCTATATCTTTATATCACCAGTAAGTTAAACAAAAAATGGATTCTTTAGCTATTTATATATCGATATTTACAATTACTTGAGTTTCTTATACTTTAAAATACATTTTAAAAATGTTTTTAACACAGGTTATATTGCATAATCCCCCAAAATGCGTAAGAAAATTTGTTTTCCAAGTAAACATTGCGGATGGTTTCTCTTGTACATTCATTAAGTCGACCCAATCACATTGCGTACTAAAATTTAGGTCATTCACTCCGCTCTCTAGTAGTGGCGGGTGGTGTGCATGAATATCTAGAACATGTGTAAATAAAGCGAAGCTGAAGCTTTGTGAATCCACAACCTTTCGTTTTCTCGGACAGTAAACTTCTATCGCTTTTTTCTGCCCAGCGCAAACCTAGATCTATTTCTTGAAAATTCTTGTTAATTAAAGGCGGTGGTGAATTCGTTTTGAAGATAAATATAAACACTTTGAAGCTGTTCTTTTGTCTTTGCTGCTTTTTAAAGTTGGTCAGTGAGTAGCGAATGTGCTGTCAGGTCGTCTCGAAGCGTAAACCTGTCTATTTGAAGTAGAAACAGAGGGAAACTTTAAAGCTGTTGTTTTTTTTTTAGCCTTGCCTTACGAAATCACCAACATCTAAAAAGCTACTTCAGTTTTCTTAAAAATTCAAAAAGCATATTTTTCACAATGCGTCATTTGGTACCTTTCACCAGGCACACACACATATATTCATTGCTTGCCACTAAGCCTCTCCACTCCCACCCCCCCCTCTAGTCTAGTCATTTCTATCTATCAAAAACACATCTAGCCAGCATTTACATATTATTGACTTGTTAAATGTAGGAATTGCTTCCAAACGTTAGCATTGGAAATATACCACACTTGATTTGGAAGTTTGAGGTTGCTCCCCCCGAGGTGATGGGATACAATATTATTATCGAATCTGAATACGAGGATGCTTTGTCAGAATCTCCGAAAGTTTGAAAGGACGCGAAAAGAATATTCAGGGTAAATGGTCAGGGAGCAGAAAGCTGTATTTTTTAAGTTCATTATCTGTTTGTCAACTTGCTACCTACAACCCGCTTACGAATTACCACTATACTGTCTTCCTACTCAGCTCCTATCGACACTTGTCTTGGCCCGATAGAATAGGTTAACACTAACAATGTCACCTTAGCAGAGACTGGGCCAACCATTTCCAAACTCACGGTGACACTAAAGATGGTTCCAGTAGGAAATGGGATAGAGGCTGCCCACATCCCTCATTAGGGCAGAGGAAGATAGGACTAATGTTAACATTACTTAAACGCAATCCCACATCATCATCACCATTATTTCTAAAATTATCATTGCTCTCAGATCAATGACTTACATCCTTGAAGCTTTATCTGCAACAGTTACTTGTCATAGTAAGTATGCACGTAAATAGTAATACACTATTTGACACTATCATCACACGCACTTTTTTCTACTAATATCATACGGCGTCAATCTCATATAATAAATGAGTAATGGATTTACTTTTATAAGTAAATAGCATCTGTCATAGCATCCCCGCTCGAGGGCAAGCTCTCACACCTTAGAAAACTCAAAAACTTTGTTGCCTTCCTAGGAAGCATGCAGTATAAGCAGCTGGTTATGGCTATGCACTCAAACGCAAAACAAACTGACAAGACCTTTTGCTATCTACTGGCTGGTACCCATTCCCACCTGATTGAAGTGAGGAAAATTCTAATAAAGTGACTTTCCCAAGGACACAACATCGGGCCCCCCAAGGGATTCGGACCAACGACCTTATGGTTGCGAGTTTGAGAGCTAAAGACGCCACTTGATATAAGAAAAAAAAATAGTTAAAAATAAAGCAACAACTGAACGGAAACCAAACTCAAGTTACCCATGGGCCGATGCAGGTAGAGTCTGGTAGAGTCTGAGCCAGATAGAGTATTGCACAATAAACAAAAAAAGATTTTTAAGTATGTCAAAAGTACAGTTAACTAAATCTTCTCAATCTTTACCTTATTAATTCAGTTCAGAACATGAACTGAACCTTTCTACAGAACACAGGCTTCTTACCTACTCCTTGCTCCAAGGAACCTGGTAGTTCTCTCTCCTTTACATTTGGCTCAAAGAAGGGCTGCACCGATGCTAAATTTTGATGTCAGGTGGGGACTGCAAGATATTTTCCTACAGGCCTCAAATTAGTTCGCAAGTCGGTGGGCTTTTTTTTTTCTGCTTACACAACTTACAGTAGGTAGACTTACTATGAACATCTATAAATTAATAAAAAGAAATTTGATTCCCACTTAAGTTTCAGTCGAAATCAGAAAAAAACTCATTTGACTGAAAAAATGACAAGGATTCAGGGCTCCCCATTACGCACAAAAGTGCATACACATTAAACCTGCAGATTACCCCCTTAAAGTTTTGGTGGTGTGTGACCTTTACCCTTTGTAATTTCATTTCGGGGGTTGTATACGCTTTAAAACGTAGGTGGTGAGTGTCTAACAAACATTTTCCCCCTTCTCTATGCCGAAGCCGAGTCAATGATTTGACAACACAACCACACACATGCACGACAGTCACCTTCTGTGTCAGAAAAAGTCGACTATTTGACTTATTTATCAGCACAGAAGCTCCACCCACACTCTGGTGGCTCACATTTCCCAGTATCGAGCCTTCAGTTTACCACTGTGAGATTACCCCCATCCTTCTTTAACACCCTAGTAAACATGAATTGTGTAAAACTAAAACACCTGGACTAGGAGAGCTTGACGTGATACTTCAGGATTAAAAAAGAAATAATGATAAAACACACACACATGCGTGCGTTCACACACACACATACACCATACATACGCGCGCGCGCAGAGGGAATATACATGGATATAATAATGGAAACCCCTGGAAATTATTTAAGTCAGCTTGGCAGTGACCTAAGAGATTTGTTGTTGAACAAAAGGTTGAAAAAGGTTGAACTCTAATTCTAGTCAATATTACACATTTATTTCTTTTAAGTTAATTAAAAAATCGTTAACATTCAATCATAGTCATGGTCACTCTGTGTGTGTCTGTGTGAACGTGAATGTGAGTTAAATGTTTACAAGCACAAAATCTTACTATAAAATTATTATTATGAGATATTAACTTTTACCCTTTAAGTTTCTAAAACAAGAGTTTAGAAAATACCCCTTAAGATAGTAAACCAAAGGGTGAAGGAACCTCTTAAGTTGGCCTGAAAACGGGAGCCCTGTGGATTGCCAAACATTTTTTTTTTCAAAATAATTCTAATAATACTAAACAAAAGAGTATACATTATTATTTTTAGTTTTATGAAGGCGAAGGGCTTATGTTCTTTCTGCCAATGGCTAGGAACGAAATAAGCAGAGAATAAATGAGCAGCATGCCTGCCTGCGCTAATAACCTTGAAGGGATCATTTGATTTTATGGAACCTGTACTCTGTGCATCCTAAAATAGTAGCAACATTCACAAATGGAATGATCTAATCCATCCTGTGGACATTACACATAACCATCAATCCGGTTTCTTGATGTAATGGGAGGGTGGCCAGATTTTCCTTCACGAGAGGAGCAAAGGAGGAGTTCTGCAGAGGGCCGGTACTTACCGTGACAAGGTCACTGAGCAAACATGTACAAAAGTTTGGGTAGGGGTTAGGAGCTGGTCGGCTGGCTCTCTGACCCTGCGGAACTCTTTCCGAAGCAAAAGCTTCTATTTTTGCACAATTTGATCACTCTCCCAAATCAAAGAGGTCTGATTTCTTCTGAGTCACATCATTTCCAGTTTGAGTTTGATGAAATCATGGCCAACAACCAATTAGTATATTAACGAAGTGTATACAGACCCGGTAACCGGGAACCAAGTCACGAAGTATACAGACCCGGTAGGGGAACTCTTTTGTGATTTCGGAAAGTTTCAGCGCCCAGACCCGGTTGTGTGTGTGTGTGTGTGTGTGTGTGTGAGAGAGAGAGAGAGAGAGAGAGAGAGAGAGAGAGAGAGAGAGAGAGAGAGAGAGAGAGAGAGAGAGAGAGAGAGAGAGAGAGAGAGAGAGAGAGAGAGAGAGAGAGAGAGAGGCAGAGAAATAGAGAGGGTGACTGCTCGATTGAAATTATGACATTGTTCTTTTCTTCAAATTGTGATTCCTCCAACTCCAAAACGGAGGAAGAACAATCGTTCATCGAAAAGACATCCGCAATCTTCATTTAGATCTAGATCTAATCTACATCTAGATCTAGATCTAGGCTAGCCTCGAAACTAGATCAATGATTTATAATGTCTGTCTATCTAGATCTAGACCTGGGCCATAGATCTAGAAGAACCTAGGTCTTCAATGAGCCAACAGGCGCTGAAACTTTCCGAAATCACAAAAGAGTTCCCCTACCGGGTCTGTATACTTTGTGACTTTGTTCCCGGTTACCGGGTCTGTATACACTCCCATATATTAAATCTACTCCACATTGGGTAGGATTTCCGTAACAATTACAAGCAACCACCCAAACAAACACAATAAAGAAGGGATCTAGATCTAGAATCTAGACCAGACCCCACCCCTAACTCTTGCAGTCTCACTCTCTTCTCCTATACCTTCTCCATTTCAGTGGTTGCTCGATTCGGAATTCTTCCCCCACATTGCCTGCACTCAGATAAACAATGCCATTTTATACTACGGCTTCGGCTGGCCTGAACTTCAGGGTCAAATCAATTAAAAGCAGAGGTCAATTTAATGGGCAATGGCCAGTACCATACAGACCTGGCTGCATTTGGTCAATAGAATTAGAATAGGCAACTGGTTCTTAGCCTCTGCTCAAATTAACCAGATCTAGATCTAGATCTAAGCCTGTATTGTATCACAAAAAGAAAAGAAAACTCTTAATTTATCAGCCATTTAAATAAAATTTTGAAACATGGCATAGAAGATGAAGGGCAATTAGTTGGCCTAGATCTAGAAATCTTTCTAGATTCTAGATCTAGATTAGAAATCTAGACGAACGCTTTCAATGAACGGTCTGTTCAGTGAAGGCTGAAACCGCCAAACCTTTATCAAGATCTCTGGTACTGGTACTACAACTACTTAGGAAAAAAGCCTTGACCTGACACTAATCCTAAAACTAAATGGCCCAAAGTCACAAGTGGCAGTGAGGTCACAAAAAAAAACAGTTGAGCCTGGAGTGGAATAAATAGCGGATCTCAAGTGTGAAAAAGGACGTTTCCACCACCTTCATCTTGTTTTAAGTCAAGATGTAGATTCTAAATTCAACTAATGGCGTTATAATAGCCTAATGAACATCAATAACTAAGAACAAGTCATAAAGAAATCTAGATCTAGTAACGGGGTGAATAAGGCTACAGTTACCACTGCCTCAGGCTGAAATTACACATCTCAAGACAAATTTTGGTTGTACTGGTGTCATGCAAATCGTTGGAAGACCTTGAAAAAATGAGCACGCACCAGACGAGTGAGGGCATTGTTTCAGCAAGACTGAATTAATATTGCGCAAAATTGTTATTCACATCATAAAGCATCACCTTAGAAGAAGTCGAAAAGTGCTTCCTTGCGACAAAAATAATTTGAGAGGGTCTTGCAAGTCTGGAAAACATTTTTTTAAATCCTAAGAAACAGTCGACCTCAGTCTACCGGTAGGTTTGGTCTTGATGAAACACAGGAAGTGATTGTATGACCTGACCTTACACGGCAAATCATGCGCACTCGATTGTATATATCAATCCGCTCTTGACAACCTCAACTTTTTAAAAACATAAGTAATAGTATCAGATGTTAAATATGTGTAATTTTTACCAAGAAAATTATAAAAACTCCCTGATTTTAAGATTTCAATGCGAGTAAATCAAAGTGCCTATGGTATTCTTCAATGATATTTAACAAACTAGGCCCACGTGAATGGACATTTGTTTATAATATGAGTGATACGCCAAACTTCCTGTTAATCCCCTGCACAGCACTAAGATAGTCTCATGTTTAAACGTCAAAAGAGATAATAAAGACAAAACGCTAGAACACGTCAGGATGGAGGGTTTAGAGCTCATAGAACCGAACGCTTTGTATAATATGCTCCAGCAAGGCACACAGTATTCAGGCCTGAGCGATACAAATTATCTTTTACTGATTGGTAAGTTTAACCTCAGCGCTGACCATGCCATAGATTAAAAAAAAAAAAATCTTGTAAAACAATAACAACATATAAACGTTTCATCCAGTATCTTAGAACCAAAGATCTTTCTTAAAAAGAGGATTTTCAAAAACTGATGTCATTGTACCTCATTTTTTAGTTTACGTTTGTGTGTCCTCCTTCTTCTTCTTAATATTATATTAGCAATTAAGTTACTATACTAGTTTAACTCATTCGCTACATATTGTTTTCGGCTTGTGGACAAATTTTTCTCGGGAGGGCGAAATGAGATGATGACTAGTGCGCAGTTCACTGGTCTTTGGGGCCTCAAATTAAAATAAACATCATAATATACCAAAATTTACTGCAGGCCTATTGTTTGTAGATTACATTTGTAATGTTTTATATTTGTGTGTTTTTCAACTTTGGTTCCTGTAAGAGGCGATTATGCAACACAATTTTGCTTGGATGGGGATAAAATTAAAAAAAAAAAGAAATCTTTGGTGAAACTCAAGAAATATGTTTGCGCCAAGGGAAATGATACATCAGAATAACCATAAATGAATATATTATAGATCTGGAAAATATTGAAAAATTTGAAGTTATTAAAAACCACATAACTTCCATAAAATTCGTACATTTGGATCATAACATCCGATATTTTTAAAAACAAAATATTTTTTGGCTGTAATCTTGAAAAAAGGACAATAAGATACATTCACAAACAGAAAAAAACACTTGTAGCTATCTTACATGGGTTATATTATTCAGAATTGTATATCTGGAATAAACCTAGATCTATATGTCTTCAGGTACTTTTTGTGTAATTTCACCAAAAAATAGGTCTATAGGAGAAAAAAATATTTTGACAATTTAGATTTAGGCCTATAAAAAAAAATCTTCTAGCACTCAAAAATATTGATTTCTCAATAACAGTAGAGCACTGACAATTTAGAATTGATTCCATAGTAAAGAAGAATCCTACATTTCTTTAGTGAGCAAAATAAGGATACATTTTATTGTGTAAAAGTATTAAGAAGCTGGTGTCTGGGCTATGATTTGGGCATCGCGATAAAACAAAGTCGCATAAACTACGAAATCGCGTTTGAAAAATGAATCGACACTTCCGATTTTCGGTGGAAACGCTTGACCTGGAAGTCAATGTTATATTATAACCTTTATTTTAACATGGATTTGTGGATTGGAATAAAATCTAAGCTAAAATTATAGATCGGTTCTCGAGCGGTTGGGGGCGGCTTGCCAAAGTGATGTCACTTTCGCCAAGCCATTCGGCGTAGCAAATGAGTTAATTCCTACCTATTTAACTAAAGGCTTTTAACTTATTTGGTTTGTCAAATTTAATCTGTTCTCTCAGTCCCTCCACCCCCCTCTCTCTCTCTCTCTCTCTCTCTCTCTCTCTCTCTCTCTCTCTCTCTCTCTCTCTCCCCTCTCTCTCTTATAGCTCTCTCCCTCTGTCTCTAGCTCTCATGTTGCAGTTCTTTCCACTCTCCTATTTTCATCTTAATAAACCCCTTTCTCGCCACTTTATTGTTTTAATATATGTGTACCATATACCATTAAGCTCTTTAATTATAAATTATAAGAGGATAGGTCAGAGTATAATGATAGATGCTGACTTGTGGGGTCCATTCCTAATGGCTCTCCATCTTCTATACAGAGGTACAGATAATTAAGACTCCTGTAAATTTGCCAGTCTTTTATTGCTGCACCAAGCCCACACTTTCACATTGCACTTTTGATATGATATCTGATCAATGGTCAGCGTTTTATTGGGATATATGGGCAAAAAGGTATGCCTTTTACCTCTTCACTGCCAATCATTTCACATGGCAGCTGAGTTAAGTTTTTACAAAAATGAATATTCTTTGAAATTTGCTTGGGGGGGGGGGGGGGGTATAAGGAGCTGACTGAACAGAACAGTAGAGGAATTGTGTACAGTTGAACTTAGAGGATAGGGGACCACTGGTTGTCAAGGAGAAGTTGCCATCTTAGTGGTCTGCTTGCACAATGTCATTAATATTGCAACATTTTAAAAATGCAAGGGGGGAATTGGAAGTGATTGTTTGTTCAGGTGGTTTTTTCGGTCAAGTGGTCGTTAGAGCAGGTTCATCTGAAATTACATCATCATCATTGCCTTTTTCGCCCTGCACCAGGGTATAAGGTCACAGACAAACACTTTCCACCTTTCTCTATATTATCCTGGGGTAGCCTCTTGATGTTATTCTATGTCTTCCCACTTTTCTGTACATCAATTTCTGTGATTCTTCATCAGGGTTCATGTGTTCTTCCCCTTGATCTTTTAATCTGAAATTAAAGTGGAAACAAAAATAATTGCGTTTTAGAAGACAAAAAAAGTGAATAATAATGATAATTGCATTTATGTAGTGCATATCCATGCTCTATGCCATGCCTACGGTGCTTTTACAACTGCAACTAAATAAATGCCAGTTGTGCTGTACTTTTTACATCGGATGTATGGAGAGGTAATTCTTTTTTAACAAAACAGAGAAGAGTATTTCACAAATCCTTTTCTACCAAAACTTCTTTATAAGTTTATTTATTAATCAAATATTATCAGACTTTCATTGCTTTTCCTGTCAAAGCTTTGGAGTCTTCTTTAGGGCCACCTGCGGGTGAGATTTTCCCCATTTTTCCCCAGTTTGACCATACAGTTTTTCCTCTCCATTTTTGAAACCTACATCCATTTTAATCAAAGTTTCGAGCATCTGCCTCAATTAATTATGTTTCAAAGTCGTTTAAAAATCGGTAAAAAAAAATATTTGGCAATTTTTGGTCGTGTTTTTAAATATTTTCTTCATTTTTTTCAAATATTTATTTTTACGACTTTAAATTTAATCTTTTCTTTTATTTTTCATCTGAATAGCTTCATTATTTTACAAAATGTACATCCATTGGAGACCTGTACTGAAATAAAGCCTTTTTAGAAGATAATCTGATTAAAATTACAATCACTGTTTTTGTTGGAAATTTTGAGATTTTTTTGCTCTTCATCTATGTACACATTTCCAGAGTCTATAATTATTTTCTTAATCATAATATTACAAATCTGGCGTTATTTGTTCATTACATAGGTGTTGCAGTTTGTACTTGCTAAAAATAAAAGCCAACGGACAAAACATAAGAGAGAAGATAGCTTTTGAAATTTGATGAAATTATCCAATATGGCGGATGTTTGCTTGGTTACCTTGGTAACCATACCATATGCTTATAATAATAAATAATTACTTCAATTAACTCTTTAATGTCTGACTAATATGAATATATCATCTTTGCTACATATAGTCAAGGGATATGGTTTTTAGAAATTCCACCAGCAGATGGCCTTAAAGCTACAAAATAAAATGAGAAGCTGTGATACATATCAAAGAAATAGCTTGTAGATTCTAGTTCATATGATTCTCCTGATTTATAATTTTTTAAATTTTAAAATATTTTACACCCCATTTTCTACTTGGGATGAAAAGGGCGTGGGATGATCAGGTGGCCAGCTTTGCCTTCACAGAAGACAAAGGTTTGTAGTAATTACAGCCTAGTTTGTTTGCAGTTTAGTCTGTCTTTCTGAAAGGGACAGTAAACTTTGTTTTCAATCAAAATCTAAATGATTGGATGTAACAGCTGGAAAATAATATGTGTCACGACTCAGTGGAATCAGGCGCTCTTCAATTTTTGGACAAGTGGAGTTTTGGTATATTTTTAAAAGCTTGTTCATTTGTCTTGCTTTAGGTGAAAAAAGTACTCATCCATTATGAATAGAAGTCCAAGTATCTGTGATTGAAGTGGGGGTTGCCTAGTTTCTGAGGTAAAATTAGCGAGAAAATGGCCACCAAAGCTTGGCGACTTCCAAAGCTTGAGAGTCTTTAAAAACTTCAAATTTACATTTTTGTACCTTAAATCCATATTTTTCAGTAAAATCCACACAGAAATATGTTTTTAAATGGACCTTGAAGGTCTTGAGTCAAAATACAAAAAATTTGATAAAAATTGCCAAATGGAGAGAAAAGGACAGTTTTTCTATTTCATTATTTTGACAAGCACCTGATTTCACCATGATGCCTCACATATGTGCAAAGACTGTAACTGTAAGAATTATACCACCTTGTCACTGGAGGGAAAGACATGAAAAATGGGAAAACAGCATCAGAAGATCATAGATCAGATGGCCATTGAGCTGATGGTCATAAAATTTGATAACTGATTTCAGTGGCCAATATGTATTGGGCTTCTTTTAACTTGAATGGCTCATTTTTGTCTGACAGTGTGTGAATTTTTTCTTTGCAATGCAAAAGCATATTTTATTTAGAGTGCAACAGTTGCAGAATACATAACTCGAGGTGTGAGCAAGTTTAATCCAAGGATCTACCATCTCTGAAGAAGGTTGAGCTCCCTACCCAATCTCCCTGTATTCTCCATACCCTATGTTAATTTATTAATAACTTTTCTACCTTTCCAGTAGAATAAACAACATTGTGGCTTTGATTTATGGCTCTCATCTAACTTGTAAACAATAAGTCTTTTATTGATACATAGCTCCACTTCTATTCACAGATGCTCGAAGGAAACATGAATACAACGAAAGTCATATCGTGACTTCTAAAAAGGCACCAAAGGTAATAAGAATTGAGTTGTGTACAGAACATTTCTAATAGAGCTCTGAATTGTATTCACATCTCAGTATTATAGTGAATTTTTAAATTTCTTTTTAATCGATAAGAGGGAATAGGGAGGTGGGTGTTTGTAGGCTTTCATCTTTCTTGTATAGTGTATAAGGCACATTGTCATTACTAGTGTTTGTTATGTAATGTGTCGGCACTCTGCTGCTGCACACAAAGGATGTGAGTTTGATTCCATTGTGTAGAAGTATTATATTGAATAGGCTATACTTTCTTTCTGCTGGTATGCTGTACATCACTCAGTCTGGGATGGCCCTGACTGGCAGGGTCAAAGCAGCTCACCACTTAAATGATCTTGTGTCAGTGGTGGTTTGAATATTTACAAGCCATCCATCACTCTTGTCATTGTGCTCGAAAGCTCATCTAGGCTACACAGCTCAACTGAGAAGTAGTAAAGCCGATCAGAACAAGCCTCGGTAAAACATTTTCTCTGCATATCAATTCGTCTGTCTGTCTGTCTGTCTGTCTGTCTGTCTGTCTGTCTGTCTGTCTGTCTAATTGTCTGTCTGTCTGTCTGTCTGTCTGTCTGTCTGTCTCTCCCTTTCTCTCTCCCTTTCTCTCTCTCTCTCTCTCTCTCTCTCTCTCTCTCTCTCTCTCTCTCTCTCTCTCTCCCTCCCTCCCTTTCTCTCTCCCTTTCTCTCTCTCTCTCTCTGTGTCTCTCTCTTTCTTTCCCTCTCCTGCCCTTTGTGTTGCTTTTTGTGTCTGAATTCATATATTAATTATTTTTATGTATTACCAAACAATATTTGTTACTGGATTCTAGATTAGCGTTTTGATTTTTAAAATAATGCAATGAACTGTGTGACATCATTACCTGAGAAACCATGAAACTGTCGTTGCTGCAGTACTTGAGGGAAAAGCTTGTTTACCCAAGACAGCCCACTTCTCTTTTTGAGACGTAAAATTTAAAGAAAAATTCCTGTCCTCAATACTCAAGGTACCTGTATTTTCAGGGAAAGACATATCTTGTAAACAGAGAGTGGAAGCAAAATTTTATTCTAGAACTTCTATTTGAGAAATATAAGGAATATTTCCGCTAGCGACAATTGGGACAGTTGAACTATTGTGCATGGATTACAGTTGATGCTTTTTCTAGTGTTAATCTTTGCTGATGGACAGCTTTGACCATAAGATTTGTCATTTATTAATTCACATAGCATACAGAGAATTAAAACGGGCTGTCGATGGATGCTCTGGTGTGGTTTACTCCTTTTTTCCATCAAACATCTGTTGTCCTGATCTCTCCTTCTTTTTTGTGTTTGTTACTCTGATGTAAAACCTCCAATCTTCGGCACTTATAATATATAACCTTATTGTGTCGCAAGTGCCGTAAAACTCTTACTAAAACTAGAAAGAGAATTAAAAACTATTTTGTCAAATTGTGAAACAATGATATAGATAGTGTGTGTATGCTACAGTACCTGTATTTTTATACATTTGTGGAACTTGGCTCCAAAAGCTGTGTTCTAAAGTTGTCTGTATGAACTTCAAGATAAATTCCTCTGGCTGAAAAAAATATAAATTTAGAACATCTACCCTGCTCCTGTGCTCTCTAAGTTCAAAATGTCTATTTTATTCCAGTGCTTTATGTTGGGAACATCTTCCATGCGGCTGTGCGAAATATTCCAGCTGTATTTCAAACGGTGATAGGATGATGGTATTAGTATTCTAAATGTATCCTTTTTTTTGTTTCACAGAGTGAAAATGACTTGTTCATGATTCCGTATGATGCAGAACTGGAATGCAAACAGAATATTGTGGTGTATGACAGCAACACATCAACAATTCCTTTCCACTCATATTGTAAGTATATACAGCAACAAATGAGAAATTCCTCTCCATTCCATCATATTGTGAAGGGTTCTTTTTCTTCATTTCAGTTTCAATAGGAACAACTGTTAACTGTAAAACTACTTGCATAGCTTGTCTCTCTCTCTCTCTCTCTCTCTCTCTCTCTCTCTCTCTCTCTCTCTCTCTCTCTCTCTCTCTCTCTCTCTCTCTCTCTCTCTCTCTCTCTCTCTCTCTCTCTCTCTCTCTCTCTCTCTCTCCCTCCCTCCCTCCCTCCCTCTCTCTATCTCTCTCTTTCTCTCTCTCTCTTTCTCTCTCTCTCTTTCTCTCTCTCTCTCTCTTTGTAAGTAATGTGGAACAGGTTCCTATACATAATATCTGATTGAATGTTTGGATATATATTTTCAAAATAGTTTAAAAACATACTTTTATTTTTTTCTGTTTCAATTAGAGCATAAAATGCTTCCTCAATTTCTTCTGATTCAGCTAACTCTTGTAACATAATGTAATAAATATTGGTGTCATTCTTTGGTATTGTAAATTGTGTCTATTCTCCTCAGCCCCTGCAATTGACTGTGCCAAATTGTTTTGGGACATGGGAAGTCGAGACACAGTTAAAATCTTAAAAGGTAAGTGCTATAAAACTATAGAAGTGGGATTTGACATTGCCTTTCATTGTCATGAACATAATAATTTGACTTCTTTCATTTTTTTTCTTGTTGAAAAATGTTGAACTGTTAATCAGAAATCTTTCTTTCCTTGTCCAGTCTTATGTTACACACCTACCTTTGGTTAAGTTACCTTGTACGAGTTCTTTTCACTATTTGTTTTCCATGAACATATTTGCTGACATGGTCTGTAACTTGAGTATAACAAAACCCAAAAGAACTTCTGCCTCTTGCACTAAGAAAATTTTAAACTGGGCATGACCACTGAACTTGTTCGGTGGGTGGAGGAAGGTAAGGGCATTGAACGCGTTGAAAGTCTTATATAATTTTAATTTAGTTTTATATATGAATTTTCTTTTTTTTACAAGAAACAAATTAATGCCTGCTTTTCTTTGAATTTCTATCCATTTACTTTCTTTCTCCCAATATTTATTCTCCTGAGTTATTATAGGCTCGCTCTTGGACTCTTCATTGGACTGTCCCCGTCGTTTTATGCAAGAAAAATTCTGAAATTATGCAAACTGAGCCCAAAAATGTGAAATTATGCGATTCTGTTAATTTTAACAAAGAATGATAAAGGAAAATAATCAGAAATTATGCAAAAAATGATCAAATTTTGCTAAATTATGCGGGGTGCATAAAACCACGGGGACAGATTGGATATTATACAAGTCAGGCACTGGTAACATGCATACAGAAAACTTTTAATCACGGAAGCTTAGCTTGTACAATTTTCCATTCCCTGACTGAACCGCTATATATTCTTTGTATTAGCATCATTGATTTCTCACTTAAACACCCATATGGATATGTCGAATAGCTGGTCTTGAAAAATCAAATTAAATTTTTCCTCGCATTCAAATTGCTGTGCAAGCACAAAGCAAAACGACACACTCATTGTCCTTGAGTATGATACACACACTACTGTCACTACTGATTCTGAGATGCTTCACCACACATTACTTGTTGTGCCCATAAAGCGCAGGACTTTCCTTCAATCTGGTCAAGTGAGGGTGAATGTTTGATGGTGAGGTATGATCGAAGACAGACAGTGTAATGCTGCATTGGGCAGTATGGTGTGTGAATTATGTTTGCATTTGTGTGCATGTATGTGCATATATGTGTGTGTGGTTGTTGGAACATGAAAGTAAGCCCTGTGGATTGGGAAGTGATTACACAAGAGGGGTGGGTAGTGTGCTTTGACTAGTATTGGTTACATTGTCATGACTGTTATCTGAAGCAAGAACGTTTTTAGATGTGTTTTGTTTTGTTATAAAGATCAGCAGCATCACTCTTTCTTTTCTTTTGGTATGACACTGAACAATACAAAGCGCTGGTATTAAGGCGCATCATCGCACTTTACCTGTAAAGTAATGTGTGTAAGTTGTAAAGCATTAGAAACTTCCTTGATGAATCTAAGACAGACATTGTGGCAGCCCCCGGGGCAGTGCCACTGACTGTAGTGTCTTTAGGCCATTCCCAAAGGGGGGGACATTTCTCGTTCAAGCACAGTAGAATTGTAAATGGGCTGATTCATGTCACGCTCATATCTGTGCCTGATCTACAACTGGGAACTGCTGCTTTTTCTTTCCTGATTCTTACTATTGTCATTTTCCTCTACTTCTTTTGTATGTTTGTCACTCTCTTGTGACCTGCTATTTTGGGGTGCCTTGATAGTCAAAGCAGACCTTGTGCTGTTGAAGCTAGAGAGGTGAGCAGTCTAAGTCTGATTCCCTGTAAAGTCTTCTCTGTTGACACCCACCCCTTGGCGTTTATATGACCTTATGCAGTTGCGAGCGTAGTAAAACCCTCTACTGTAAAAAAAAAAAAAAAGACATTGTGACACTGCATTGGGCCATATGGTGAGTCAGTTATGTTTGTGTTTGTGTACATGTATATATATGTGTTTGGTTATTTAAAAGTGAAGGTATGGATCAGAAAGTGATTAAACGAGATGAATTGTTGATGTGTTCTGACCAGTATTGGTTACATCGTCATGATCGTGATCTGTTGGAAGAACTATTGTTTTTCAAAAGTCAGATATAGGTTATCCAAATCTCATCAACATCACCCCTCTTCTCTTCTCTCGCTTCCACCCTAAACAAAGAGCGCTCACTATCCATCTGGGTACTTTTCATTATTTATGGCAGTTATATTTTCAATTATATTGTCACAATTACTTCCCTTGATTTTCTTCAATATTTTTCATTAATGTGTTTACTCAAATTATGGATTTGTCGAATATATTTGTCAATCTGCGATGTGTTCAAGATATACATGCTCAACTGCATTGGTTTAGAAATAGAAGAGAATCATCCTATGGTTCAACCTTAGAGAATGACGTGGTACAGATTAGTTAAAGGTAACTGTTCTTGTGAAGTGTATTCCAGCGCAACTTTATTTTTTACCCAGGAGGCTATGAAGAATTTTCTGCCCTGTATCCATTCCTGAGAACGCAAAAAATCTTGTTCACGCCAAGGGTAAGTCTTATTGTACATTGATGTGAATGTAATAAGAAAATTTTCAATTCGTTACTACATCCCAGCATTTTATCTTTTAAGAAGAAATGCTTATGTTTTTTCACAATTTAGAAATATATTTCCTATTTCTCCTTTGTTTCCACCTTTCAGTCTGTTTCTTTGTCAATATGCTTATTGTCTGTTCAACTCTGCCTCTCTTGCTGTTTCTTGCTCCATATTTCAATCTGTACATATCAAAGAAATTAACCCTGGCTGTGCCGCGGATGAGTATTCTAGCAAAACAGGCTTCCACCCACATGCCATTAACGAATATTCCGACATTCAACCTCTTTGTAGCATAACTGATGAGTATTCTTACTTTCAGCCTCTTTGCCGATAAAGAAAAACAACTTTATTTTACTCCAAACCTAGTTTCTAGATAGGGGTTAGGCGTTATGTATTATGGGAGAGGTGAAGGAGTCATTATTTTTCCTGAATACTCTTTAACGTTTTGTCAGCAATTCCATTTCTGATTATTTTCCTGAGTAGATCCAATAAAATGTAACCAAAATAACACTGCCCTGCGTAGGAGGGCAGATGACAACTATAATGCCCAGCACTGAATGAGTTAAGTAAATTTGAACATTACTTGTGCATAGTAAAAAGTGTTAATTGCAATGTACAAGAGGACCAGGAATATGCCCATCCTTTTAGTAAGGTTTCCCTTGTGAGTGGAATTATTTACAATTGTGATATCTTCAGAAAGGAAAAAGTCACACCATTTGTTCTACATTATTGTTATACAATGGAGTCCACTTATAATGAGTCCTAAATTAATGAGAAGTCAGTTATAAAGACACTTTTCTAAAACCCGTTTTTTTCCCCTTCTTTACCTTTGTAAATCAAATACTACTATTGTGCAATCAGACAAACGCACAAGTCGGTTATAGCGGAATGTGCACAGCGCATAGGCCATTTATACATAAAACTTCACCAGTTGAGAAATTTGTTGGTGATCCGAACAAAGAATGGGAGAGCCCACAATGACGGCTGGAGCGAATGATTGGGGAGGATGTGGAATGGGCAGACAAGCAGATGGCATCGTGTGATAGGCCAGCCTAGTCTAGACTATCTAGCCTACCATGCCTCTCACTTCTCCGATGCGAGGATGGACAAGTCACTGTGCTGTGATGGATGGACTTCATCGTGCGAATGTGTGATGTGCGCAAGCAGACGGAACGCACAAAAGGGTGTGGTGGGGTGGGGGACAACACAGCGGGCGAGTTAGCCTAAAGCCCTTTTTTTTCTGATCGCCAACGCGGAGCTGTCAATATCGCTAGCGCCAGAGAAAGAAACCTGATTCTATTTTTGATTTAGTAAGACCTAGAGGTCATGTTGAACAAAATGATCAGAGGAGGAGATAACAACGAGAAATAAACAGATCACCTAACTCATAGATGAGGCGTACTTTATTATTTCCCTTGAATTAATTACTGGAACCCTGACAACGAGAATCCTGCTATAACGGACATTTCGCACCTGTCCCCTCCCTCTCGTTATAACAGGATTCCACTGTATCAGTAATGGTGATGATAAAACTTGATTGCATTTATATTATAGTGCCTTACCGTGCAAGAAAGTAGGCTCTCTGTGCTGTACCTTTTATTATTAGTACCCAACAGACTGTGTAATATTCTGAAACCTTCTCAGCTTCCCAGTAAACATTCAGTGCTAGCTGCCATTGTACAGGTATTCAAACACTTTCATACTGATAAGACCTTACTTTACATTGCCTCAAGCTTTGTGCCCATTCCCTCTCGTGTGAGGTGAGGTGCTTTTCCCAAAATCATAATGTCAGACCCAGACCTCGATTTGAACCAGTGAACTGTTGCATGGTTTCAAATCCAGCAGCTGACCATGAGACTGCCGATTCCACTATATGTGCCTCATTCTTAATTTGCTTCAGGAGCTGGATGAGATCAAGCCATATCCAGTAGAACTTATCCAAGGTCTTCTCTATATGGGCAACTGGCGACAGGGAAATGCTGCTTACATTCAAAAGGATCTCAAAATCCGAGGACATATCAACTGTTGTGTGGAAGCTGAAACTTTGTAAGGGAACTATTTAGTTTTTTTTTTTTTACTTTTACATTTATCAATTTTCAGAATTTTAATATTGTTTACTATCTTTTTTTCTTAATCAGCAAAATTCAATTAAAAGTTTTAGGAACCAATTTTTGCTTGAAGCAGTTTAATCCTATCCGTACGTCGTGTTTCACTCTCGTATTCATATGATGTGGGGAACTCTATGCACCCACTTTCCAAAGAGGAAATTTACTTGTTAATCTGATCCGTACGCTTTACGTATCAGTCTGTCAAAATGATTTTTTGAGAAACACTGAAAGTTTCAAAGACATCTTCACACTAGATAGAAGTATTCTAAAATGTGAAGAATAGAACCCTTGGGGTACAAAATGACCAAAGGCGTACGGATAGGGTTAAAAGGTGCACTGCATTTGGCCCTGGCAAGAAGGGTCAAAACAACTCTTACCCAAATTATCAAAATTGTATAAATAGGAGTGTAAAAATGTTTATAATCTGGCAGAGATATATATTGTAAAATATCCTGGTTCTTTAAACTGAAACAGTTTGCAAATGTTTCAGTAGAACATTGAGTCAGTCTAGCTTCGGAACTGAACAGATATAATCTATAGTAATACAAATAAACAAACAAATAGAATTTGGAGTCCAAATAAGGCAACACTTGGGCTCTGCTTTATCTAATACATTCAATTTAGTATTTCCCCCCAGGAGTGTAAGAGCTGGTTTGAAAAAAAGCTCTTAAATTTCCTTATTTAATTGAAGTAAAATTATAGAATCAGACATGATATACCCCTCCTGTGGAGTCACTCAAGCTGACACCATTTTTACACTGACATATCTGCTATTGTTTTGGTTTTTTTTCGGCAAACACATTATATTTACCTTGAAAAGAAATATGATTTTTCACATTTATTCCTCCAGTTTCCCAGACCCAGGACCTCACCTTCTCCATATCCAGGTAAATGATGAGAATGATGCTGACCTCTTCAGTCATTTCAAGGCAGCATGTGATTTCACAGGTAAAAATCTAGGTCTTTTTTTCTTGTCTTATACTCTAGGCCTACCATATGTCCTGGCCTCTGCGACTTGGTTGTTAGGTGCAAATCAACTTCAACCAACCAACTTTCTAATGATTGTATTTCTTTGGTTATTGTTTGTTTTAACAATGGAATTTTACTACTTTCTTGCTAGCATGCTGGTCTCAATTTTTACAAAGTATATCTCATTCTCATATCATGTGAGCCAAATTTATGTCTTTCATGTTCAAATCTCGCATAAAGTTGTAGTCTGATGTTTTCCCCTCAATTTGATTAAAAACTAGAAGGATCTGAGATTAGAAACTATTCTCAGAGTGCGCAAGTTAATTTAGTTGGGCTCTCTTAATAGAGATGACCAGCTGTTGCTGATAAGATTGTCACACGAAACCTAAAAACCACTTTGTTTTTTGCGGGAATTGTATTCCGTCAATTTTGTCACAAGCATCACTAACAGTGAAAAGACTTGAACCCATGCTTTACAAATCACAGTATATTACTTAATCACCAAAGAAAAAATCTTAGAATTGTGTCATAAAAACGTGCTAGAACAGTCTCTGCAGAAGGCAGGAAAACAGACATTGTGATCTGAGCATACCATATTTACTTGTCCTCAGATGAGCACTTTGAGGAGAAGTTTGCAGTTCTTGTTTTCGACAACCTGGGTGTCAGTCGCAGTGCGGCAGTTGTTGTTGCTATCCTGATGCATCACTACAAGTGGACTCTGGCTGTGAGTTGCTACATGCATTTGGGATCATTTCTAGTCTAAAATATGGTGGAAAAACAAAAATGTAAGACAGTAGTCTCTGCCTAAAATCTCATCACTTACAAATTAACAATCATGGTTTGCTTATCCCTTAAAACCCCATACCGCTGGTAGGCTCTGACACTGTATTTTCCTGTACTGCTTGTAACCGTTGGTTAACTTTATCATTTAATTCCCACCGCTAGAAACTGGGGATGTAAGTCCAGATGACTCTGTCCCAAGTAGAAAGTATCGATAATGTTCTAAACCAAAAATTTGGAATTTTTGCAAGTTCCCCCCCCCCCCCCCCCCCCAAAAAAAAAAGAGTGACTTCTCGCTGCCAGGCCCATCAGGCCGCAATATTTTTTACTTTTTCGATCCTGAACCAGAGCCCAATGATGATCTTTCAGTCAGATATACAGATATATATGACTGTTAAAGATGATTGCAGTGTTTCGCAGAACATCGATGGTGATTTTGACGATAGTGGAAGTGGCAGTTGATCACTACTAGATCTGCCAGAGGCGAGATCTACGGCTGGGTCAAATGATGCTTTGACTGAAGTGGAGACAGGGATCACACACAAGAACTTACTCACAGCATTGGTCCTAAAAACGGTGTTTTAACCTTTTCCCCTTTTGTCTAGACTGTGCATTCATAGTATTTCGATTTTAATTCAGGATTCAAGGGAGGTATGAAACAAAAGAATCCAGGGTTTTAAGGGTCAAAATTCCCACCATTTTAATTTTAAGAGAACAGACTTTGTACTACACAAAAGTCACCCTTAAGATCCCTTTCTGAAGGACTACATTTGACTTAGATTCCACACTTCAGATCATAATTTAGGAATAAAAACCTGGACAAGTGCAGCTGATCAATCAAGCAGCAAAAATTTGCAATCATTGTGCAGCCCATTTCTTCACAAATCACCCACTATTGTGTGTGTGATCGCATCTCCATTGTAAATCTTGATGAGTGGTTACTATGTTTGTCCGAAATGGGATCATGCTGAGGTGTGAACTCGTCAATGCGCTTGTTTTCCTCAACATTGCCCTCACATTGAGCCCTAATACTATAATAAAAACTTGTACGTCAATGTCTGACGATGACAAATACATCCACGGAGGAGAATATTTTTCCAGCGAAATAGTAGAATTAGCAGAATTAATGGTTAAGATGACTTGTGGCTTCTGCTGTGGCTGATGAGACCTATTCTGGCTGAGAAAAGTTTGCCACATTTTGAATGTTAAGACATCCACCTGTCTCAGACGACCACTTTTTACCTTGACAGTGGGTGACCATCTTAGACAACTTCGACTATATATACATTTGTTTCTTTTTCTGTAAAATGTTGCTCTTTTTTCACTAACCTGCAACCATGTTCAGATGACATGAAAATCTTTCCTGAACAAGAGGAACATTTTATCCATGTTGTTGTTGTTGTTAGCGATCCAGTAGCATCTGAGCGTTAACTCTTCTGCATGATGCCATTCTGTAATAGCTGCTTGTCTGTTTTAATTGTCTTGAGGAGTAGAGGCAGTTTGATTTTTAAATCAGTTAGTTTTCTACAGAAGAACAGGTGATGTCCCACTGTCTCTGAGGGGTATTCACATAGTGGGCAGGCAGCAGACTGCTTTACTCCGATTCGGTTGAGATGTTGATTGAGGGGTACATTTTAGGTTCTAAGTTGAAAGATTATGGATTGATCTCCCCTCCTCAACTTATTGATTGAATCTTTGACCAGTGGTTTATTCTTGTGGCCATATATCATCCTTCCTGTCGTACCTGTGGCCCAATCGTTCATCCAGTCTTCCTTGAGGTTTGACTTGATCATTTGGCAGCAGGTGGTGTAATCGGTAGGAATATCAGGCTGAGGGAGGCTAGCTTCTTTCTTTGCTACAGCATCAGCTCTTTCATTTCCCGGTATCCCAGTGTGAGCAGGAATCCATTGTAAGACTACTCTGATTTGGTGCATTCTCATCAAATTATGTAGACTCCAAATCAAGTGTGATATATCTTTGTTCACATCAGTCCCACTCTCTCAAGTGTCTCTAGTGTTGAAAGGCTGTCTGTAAAGATAACAATGTCTGTGGTAGCAAGTGGGTTAGTGTCATACAAGTAGTTGATGTAGTTTGCTGTGTTGGTGATAGCCTGTTGTTCGGCAATGAAATTGGAGCAGAAGGACGCGTTGGAATTGAAGACTTCTTTTTTGATCCCATTAAGCAAGTTGATCACTGACCCATATCCAGAGTTGATTGTTGCCTTAAATGCCGATCCATCAGTGTATGATGAGTGGATCCTTGTTGGTGGATAGGAATAAATTGTTTCAAGGGCCAAATATTTTAGTGCCACAGGATATATGTTTTTATTGCTCTTGTCCAATAATGTTTTCCTAATTTCTGGCTTTGCTATGGTGAGATGTGGTGGGAGAGTTGAGGGAACTCTTTCCAGAGGTTCTCGTCTTTGTGGGAGGTGATGTTTTTCTTGGAGATTGAGGACAGTGTCAAGTACAGATTTTGTATTTTTTAGTCTTTGATTAGGTTTCCACTTGTCAACAAGAATTCTATTTGGTTGGTTATTTTTTAGCCTTTTAGATCTTTCATATACTTCTAAAGCTGCCCATTTTCTTCGAGTTTTCTAATGGCTCAATATTTGTGGGGATTTCACAGGCCGCAGTCACTCATTCCACCAGAGATAAGACGAAGAGCTTGGTTTTAGATGGTGTCCATTGAGTTCTTTGTAGTTTTACTGCAAATGTTTTGTAAAACAAGATTAGAATCAAAAACAGCTCTAGTATATCGTAGATAGAGACCTCTCAAGATGTTCTTGTCTGATCCCCAGTTAGTACTGGCTAGTCGTTTGATGAGATTAAGTCTCTTCATAGCCTTCTTGCTAAGGTTGTTGGTGTGTTGTTTCAGGTTGAGCTTACTGTCAAGTTGTACTCCAAGATACACTGGGTTATTCTCCTTTTTCAAGTTGGTACCATCTATTCTGAGGGGGATTTCTGCATTTGCAAGGTGGTAGTTATAGCTTCTCAAAAAAACAGAGTAGACAGTTTTAATAGCAATTTACTTTCATCTTCCATAAACGGTAATAGGTTCCTAGGGAATTTAGATCATCTTGTAGTCTTCGTCTGCTTATTGTTGTTGAGTCTCCAGTGTGCCAAAGGACCAGGTCATCAGCAAAAAGGGCTTTTTCTGTTTTGAGAACATCTGAAACATCATTGAGGAAGACAAGGAATAAGATACAGCTGATAGAAGATCCCTGTGGGAGTCCCTCCTCAAGTACTGCTTTTGAAGATAGGGTTTCATCCATCTGGATCTGGATAAGTCTATCTGTAAGGAATGATTTAATCCAGGAGTACATATTTCCCTTGATTCCCATGTTCTGCAGTTTTAAGAGTAGTCCTTCCCTCCACACTGTATCATAGGCTTGTTGGAAACCCACAAACACAGCCGTTGTCTGTTCCCCTCTCTGAAATCCATCAATGATTTTCTGTGTAAGCCTGAAAAGCAGATCTTCTGTCCTGCCTTTTGACCTGAACCCTGCTTGACACTGTGAGATCAGGCCTGAAGACTTAAGCCACCAATAAAGACGAGAATTGAGGATTCTTTCACAGAGCTTGCCAATACAGGATGTGAGTGATATTGGACGGTAGTTTTTAGGGTCATTTGCCTTCTTTCCTTTCTTTAAGATTGGGTTTATAGTAGCATATTTTATCCATAAAAATGTTTATTTTCATGTTTTCCTTGCTTCAACTCTTCCAAGCACACATTTTGCTTGAACAAGAAAGAGGCAAAGTTGTTACTGTTTACTTTGTGACTATTTAATGTTATTCAGTGAAATATACACTATCTTCCTCCAGGAGGCTTATAATCATGTGCTGACATGCTGCAAAAACATGCGGCCCAACAGAGGTTTCGTGGAGCAGCTGTCGAAATGGGAAGAAGAAGTCTTAGGAGAGAAGAAAACGGACATAAGCGACCCCAACTTTTGATTCCCCTCCTCCTGTCAGATGCATGGTGTGCACCTTCCAACATTGGGCATAAATGTTGTTCATAAAATGAAGAATAGAAGAGTATGGTGGAAAAATGACATTTATCACAATGTTCACATTTCATCCTTGTCGACCTTGATCTATTGTTTGCCTTGTTCCACTTAGACCATACATTTTATTTTTGTCCAAAAGGGTCCTAATCACATACTGCATAATTTAAAAGTAAAACAGAAGTAGTCTACAGGGAAAGAAAGGCAGTTGTCCTCTACATTTTATCTTTAACGAGTGTTGTTCCTCCCCCCCCCCCCCCCCCCCTCTCTCTCTCTCTCTCTCTCTCTCTCTCTCTCTCTCTCTCTCTCTCTGTAGACTTCAAATGTTATTACCGAGAGATGCCACACTTCTATACTCCGTCCAGATATCTGTGATATAATGATTGTGATGACATGATGAGATGTGAGGGCAACCACATGGGTGGTTCGGGTTCCAAATCTCCACAACATTGAACTTTTAGTATCATGTACCAGACTTCCATGTGAATGTATATTATTTTTCAATGATTCAGATTTTCAGCTGCAGATTATGAAAGCAGATGTATATATTATATTATATACAGTTGAACCTGTGTAAGACTAAGACGGAATCGCAAGGGAGCCAGAAAAAAATTGCGTCTTAGACAGGGAAATTTAGGGGGGGTTCAAAGGCCCAGCCGGTGGGATCAAGGATCGCTTGTGCGGTTGGCAAACAGTGATCAAAACTTCACGCCTCTCAACCGCTATCCTCTCTGATAATGACATGCATCAGTCTTACTTTTCCAATTACCACAAGTGCTTGCATTTCATAGGACCACTGTTTGACCTATTAAAAACAGAAACTTTTGAACATCTCCTTTGCTTCCACCCTTAGCCCCACCCATCGGTGTAACAAGCACAGTCCCACCCCTTACTGCCATGTAACACTGATTCGAGGAACTCCTTTTCTCGGGTGGCCGTATGATCAGGGCGGCAGGCATTGGTCAAACTTATTTCTCACCTCTGGCTTCTGGCTATTCAGGAAAGTTTTTGTGGTGGCTAGCTGCTCGAGCACTTTCACTGGCACTCGTGTGATTTCACACCCACACTACCCAGACCATCTGCATCGTTCAAGGCTCACATGGATGTGGTAACATCTACTCCCAAACTGCACCCCTACTCCCCTTCCTCGCGGCAATGCATTATGTTTAAAGCCGGTGGAATCAAATTTGCGAGTTTTGTTTGAAATCAGGGCAGAGCGGGAAAGCATTTTCCGTCTTAAACTGGTAAAACCATCGGAAGGGAGCGGATTTTTTTTTCCGTTTCTGTGCTGGACAGGATTCTGTTTTACACAGGTAATTAAAGAGGAATGTAGCAAGGGGGGAGCGGGGAGATTCCGTTAAGACTGGTTTCCGTTTTACACAGTCCGTTGAGGCAGGTTCGACTGTTTATATATAATATAGATATAGATATATATACATGTTATCTATATATATAAGGTTTGTACATGACTCCTCTTCATTTAGCCACATTTCCCACACCTATGCAGCACATAATAAATTAAAAACAATGAAAAGAAGCATTACACATACATCTACATCTGTGTGGATTTTTTGTGTTCATGGCCCCCAATAAAACTAGCAATGCCAGTAGACTGCAACCATGCTAAAAGCAACCTACTGCTACACAATATCGAAACAGCTATAGATTGATTGATAACAGATGACGAACTGGGTTCGTTTTTGTTATGTCTGAGAAATTTACATGTATCATTCAACATTCAGTTTCTTTGATATCAGTTCCCTAAAATTTGCCCCAAATTAACAATTTTCTGGCTTTTTCTCCTGTCCTTTTCAGGGGTCTAATTTTTGTTGATAGGAGCATAGAATATTTTCAGTTAATTAGGCTTTTTTATCTTCTGAAGTGTGACAACTGAATTTGTACCTTTTCTTCGAGCGTATATAATCTCTTAGACTCTCCATGAAAGATAAACCATTAGTAAGAAAATGAATTTTAATACTTTTTTCGTTACTGTTTAATATCATCTCTTTGAGCGAGGCAGTTGAATTGCATTTTTAGTGAAGGTACATGATTTAGAATTTCTACTTAAATAAGCTGCATTAAAGAGGATCTGAATACACCATTGCTAGCTTTCATTTCTTTTTGTCCAATATCATCATGAAGAAAATACATTTTTTTTAAACCAACGTTTTCTTCCAATTGTTTTTTTCATTTGATTTTCATTAGTGCCTGAATTACTGTGTAAGTGTAAGACATTTGTTGGTGATTTAAGAGAAGACTGAGAAACGACGATGGTTTTCGTTTTGTTTTATTTTCTTACACTATTCTGACAGTGAGCAACATTTGTGCAAATAACAAATATCAAAATATAGTTTTGCAGATATGTGGTGGAACAGATTGTAAGCATGGGCGAATCCAGTCCCAATATGACATAGATCTGAGAAAAAACAAGTCTTGAACAGAAGTAGTAAAATAAAAATCAACACATTTTAGCCTGACTGGAAGCATGAATCCTGAGTTTAGTATAAAAGCAAAGACAGTTGCAGGAACTGTGGACTACAACATGGTGTGAGGTCAATATATGTAACACATTAGTGGTTGAACAATCGTTGATGTTTTGCGGCTAAGTGCTGAAGCCAGGCACCGCTAGGACGTGGATAAATTTTTAAAATCTCTCTCGGCTCATATGAACCTTTCAACCCTTCTCATAAAGCAAGTCAACAGAAGTAAAAGTAAATGCATACTGTATAATAACAATATAATATATGTAGCAGAAACCAAAAGGAACAAAATATATGGGATGGACACAGGAAAACTGCAGTTTGTAGAAGCTCAGGGCTAAAATATACTGAAAAGTCTACTCTGACCAACAGATATGCTTGGACATAGGACACACAGAACATAACATTATAATATTAAACCACTATAAAGTTGTTCACAGTGAACCAACACAGACTGGGACATTCTCAAAGTTTGAGAATATGAAGTAAGTGCTTTGTAAGCTCCAAGTACAAATGTTTCTCATAAAAATTTGTCGGTCAGAGCAGCATAACAATATGACATTCCCAAAATAAAGCAATGAAAAATGAAAAATATCTACCTTGTTCAACATGTCAGTACCATTTGGGCAAGAAACCCACATCTTGTTATGGTATGTGTCATGGTAAGGGGTTAACCTCTCTTTCAACACTGCTAGTTACTACCGTACAACCTACAAGAATAGGATTGGGCCATTGGCATACATCTTGAAAATTCCCCACCAAACAACACCCCATTCTAGATTTGAACTATCGTCAGCTGCACCATAGTCCAGCTTGATATCAAAATGGAGAAAACAGTAGCACTTCCATTTTTTCAGAATATAAAGAACCATTTCATCTCAAAATAACGAAATAAAGTACAGTACAAGTAGAGTACCAAAAACGGTCCTTATAAGAAATTAACCTGACCTACTATTCTAAGCACATCCAGTCAGGGTCTTCACTCTCAGTCAGGCCAATATATGGGTAGCCACAACGTAAAGCAAGAACAAAGACTTAAACTTATTTTAACCCTATCCGTAAGCCTGGGGTCATTTTGTACCCCCCGGGGTTGTATTCTTCACATTTTAGAATACTTCTAGAGTAAAGGCACTATTTGCGGCCGGCTGAACTATGTGGCTACTTTCCTTATATAAAGTAAATAACTCGGGTCTTGTTTCATTTTCCAAACGGAAACCAAGCTCCCATGATGCACTGGCATGAATCATACGTTCACAACAAAGAAGGTCTTGATAGGCAGCAAAGTTTGAGAGCGGGCAGTGGTTTGAAGGGTTTGGTCGATCAAAATATCCCAAAGTGAAAATTTGACAGGTGGCTTGTCTATGGTCATTACAAAGCTTTCTTATCATATTTGTATTCGATTATTTATAGGTTCATGTGTTTAAGTAATGAATAAATATCATGCGTAAACGTTTTAACATAAAGAAAACAAAAAAATGGACCCAGGGAGGGGGTGGCCGCATAGTTATTCCCTTATTTTTTAAAAGGGACTTCTTGCGATCGGCGACATCCGCAAAAGGTCCACCCCTTTGGAGAAGGGGCATCATTGCTGGGATCAGTTGCTAACAGTGCCCATTTAACAGCAACTTAGCTTACATAAATGCACCCAGAAAGCCTGGTTTGTAGTTCTTGACTTTGATGCGAATAGAAACCAATCAAGCCTGACTCCATCAGATTCGGTGCAGTCAGAAGAAACTTCCCTGTCACTTGTACCTCTTGACAGGGTGACCACCAGGCCCCGGGAATTTGAAAAAAATTGCCGAGACCCGGGAATGCCTCAGGAATTTGAGGAAATCTGTAATTTGCCCAGGGAATGAACCGGGAAAATACATTAAGTTCTCGAATATTTGAAAACCAAATCCGATAAGGTCGGTGTTCATTTTTGCCCGTAGTGATGGAGTTTATTAATTCTGCTTTTCCCGGTCTGATAACGCAACATTTGTGACATGCAGGTTGTGAATTATAAACACTGTGTTGCCATGAAAATAAATCAATAGATTCTATTTGTGACTGTGCTGTCACTAGTGAAAAAAAAGAAAATCAAACATAGTCTGATTTTGAGCTTGTCGGGCTCACCAACGTGACCGGTCAGTGAACTTGCACAGGTTCGCATCACACGTCTTCATGTGGGTACCGGCAGATGATGGGGACACGAAAAAAGTTCATTCAAAGTCTGAGCGTTGAAGAGTATGGGATTCTGGAGTGGGGGGGGGGGGGGAATTATTGGTTTTTAAAAAAATTAAAGGTACACTGGGGTAATTTTTGAGGGTGTCTGTCAAAGTTGCTGGCAGTATTTACGCATTCATTGTTTGTTTTTTTAAGTCTGTCATAGTTTTTGACAGAAATATTGTGTTAATGGTCATCAATGACAATGTAACAAGAGCGTCTCACCTTTTTCTCCCAAGACTTCTTTGTTTGTTACTTACTTGACCGAGTACTGAGTTGGTAGTTTCGTCTCTTTCGACAAAGGAAGGTCATATATAGACACGCCCCTCCGGCAATAAAACTCGGAAAAAATGAGGGGTTAAACGAGACTCAAACCCGGGAACTTCAATAAATGAAGCGAGTGTCTTACCACTACGCTAGTAACCCCTGTTGTTTATTTTATAACACCCTACTGTACACAAATGGTCATTTCGAAGGCGGATCATTTGATTTCACAAGAGGACGTCGAGGGCAGGAGGGGGGGCCTCAATAAAAAACCAAAGCCCAAGAGTATCCCACTGTCAGGATTATTTTT